TGTAATAATAATAATACAATAACAATATTAAAAAATGCAAATAATAATATTAATAACAAAGATAATAAATAATAATCTCAAATAATCCATAATCAAATGGGGTATTACACCCAGGATATTGTGGATCGACTTTAGTTATCGACAGTATCGCACCCTCAACCGTACACGTCGGCATAGATTCAGCGAGGAAACACCTCGCCGGGGTGTTGGTGCAGTTCTTGATCGGGCCCAAGTATCGTGACACAACATGGTGTGATGTGGTGCCCATGGACGCATGCCACCTCTTATTGGGGCGCCTTTAGTATTTCGATCACGCGATGTCTTTCAACGGGCGTCTCAACACGTATAGCTTCATGTTCGAGGGAGTTCATTTGGTGCTTTCTTCCCCTCCTCGGCCATTGCCTTTGAACACTCCGTCACCGGTTCTTTTTTTATCGCACATGGCCTTTGTCGACGAAATGCGGGAGGCACCATGTGTTTTGATTCTACTGGGTATAGATGTGGAGCCTTCTACGACCCTTCCAAAAGTTATTCGCCCCTTGGTTGAGGAGTTTTCAGATGTTTTTTCGGACGAGCTACCTTCTGGCCTTCCTCCACTTCGTGAAATCCAGCATTAGATCGACTTGTTGCCCGGAGCTTCTCTACTAAATGGTCCTCATTATCGTATAAGCCTAGCTGAACACGAGGAGTTACGACAGCAAATGGAGGAGTGGTTGCAGTGAGGTATCGTTCGTCGTAGTTTGAGCTCGTGTGCTGTGCCAGCTTTGCTCATTCTGAAGAAGGACAACTCGTGGCGTATGTGTGTTGATAGTCGTGCGATTAATAAGATCACAGTCCACGCCTCGATGACTTACTGGACCAGTTACATGGAGCTTCAATTTTTACCAAACTGGATCTTCGCAGTGGTTATCATCAGATTCGGATCTGACCGGGAGATGAGTGGAAAATTGCATTTAAGATCCATGAGGGTCTTTTAGAGTGTCTTGTGATGCCGTTTGGACTTTCTAATGCATCGAGTACGTTCATGCGCGTGATGAACCAGGCGTTGCGCTACCTCATTGGGTGATGTGTCATCATTTATTTCGACGACATCCTCATTTATAGCCGCATTGTTTCCGAGTATTTAGATCACTTTCGTTCGGTCTTGACCATTTTGCGTTCTGAATCCTTCTACGCGGCTCCTCATAAGTGCTCTTTTGTGGTCGACTTGGTCCTCTTTTTGGGCTTTGTCATCTCGGCAGCTGGCATTCACGTGGATGATAGCAAGGTGACCGCCATACGAGATTGGCCGACCCCAACATCGTTCACGGAGGCTCGTAGCTTCCACGGGTTAGCATCTTTTTACCGTCGGTTCATTTCACATTTTAGTTCTATTACGGCACCTATCACCGACTGCCTTCACAGCAA